ATGTATGAAAAGGACTATTACATTCAGTAATTTAACTAAACCAGGACTACTAGATTTTAATAGCCAAAACCAGATTATAAATCACTATATCCTTTTCAACATGTACATTAACTCATTTGCCAGCATCTTGCACACTGGCTGGACATTAAAGACATGAGACTTTTGAACTGCCCGCTGCTGGGATTAACAGTGACTGACCTGTCCTGGAGGTAAACCAGCCTACTTGACCTGCTCACTACAAACCCACAAACAAAACAGGACTGCTGAGAGAAAAGCAAGCCAAATATAGTTAAGGCAAACTACTATATATCACACATAGCTGTTAGATTAGATTACCTGTCCAGCAAACATAATAACAACTGATAACCAGGCTCAGGATGAACCCACCACCACCCAGACACACTGCTGTATAACTGCTGTGTGGTACAGGTGAGGTTGAATAAAGAAAGAGGTGAATATACAGCCTCTGGTTTGTTATTAACATAATGTTAACATATAAACTCTGGCCTCGTTTAGGTTTCATTGGAATGCACACTGTGAAGCATTAACAAGGAAGAGTGTAAAGCAGGTTTACAACCCTAAGCTAGCCTGACAAAGACAATAACATTAAAGAAAACCGTAGCAGCCAGGTTAGCCTGCGTGTTCAGCTAACGGAGAGGAAATGAATCATTTTCAGCTACAATGTCACTTATTTCCTCCGGGATTTAGTTTGTATTGTTAAATAGGACTTCAACGTGGTCTTCTATTGTTCATTTAAACAACTCATATGTTTGTCTTGGTTCACAATATTTCAAATCCAAGCATGACGACACATTTTCAGCGATATTATTTGGCGAATGCTAGCTGACAAACAGAAACACACCGTTACTGACAACCCCAACAAAGTGGAAATGCAGCAGGTTAGCTAGCTGAGGGTGACCACAAAAGGAAATGAATACGGTTTTCAGGAGGAACATTTTTTTTTTATTTCCATTCTGTTGTGTTAACATTAACCTATTACGACGGCTGACTTGACACCACAGCTTAATGTACCCATATAAGTTACAGCTGACCCCAATTTACATCATCGCAGCTAAACCAGGCAGCACTGTCAGTTTAGCCACGAAGCTAACGCCGTCTGACTGTAAGGATTAAGCATTAACGTTACTTTCTTCCATTACAGCCTTGAACACACAGCCTACCATCCTGTTTACTAGCTGTACGGCGTCATTACCACGGAAAGCCCCACCTAGCTTAACGTTAACATTAACACCAACATCTGCCCAGCGTTTACTTGCTATGCAGCAGCAGGAGCAGCAGGAGGAGGAGGAGGAGGAGGGGGCTAGCGTTAGCACCTTTAGCATCGTTAGCTACCTGCCACCCCCCACCGGTGGTTTTGCAGGGGGCATCGGAGTTTGCCGAAAAGCACGGCAAAATCGCACGGCCACCCACACACCGGCTGCTGTAATGTGTTTTGTGTATGTTCGTGTGTCTGTGCGAAGGCGTGAAGTCCAAGGAGCATACCTCGGGATGGAGAATAGGGACGCAGCCAGCTTCTTTCTCATATTCCTCCATAGCGTCGGCCATCTTGGTGGTGATGTTCGCTGAGCATTGTGGGAAACAAGAGGCTGTGTAGGGGGGAAACAAACAGAGGAGGAGAGAGGAGAGAGGAGCTGTCAAAAGGACAGGCAATATCACACAGAAGGTCACATAATCATATCATAGCCAATGACTAGGGGGCACTAATACAACAAAGGATTACAAATATCAAATACATTTCATATGGCATTATTATTACAAACATTACAGCTCCTCTAGGGGGGTTTATGTAGCATGCTGTATGTCTCTTGCCACTATGGTCTTATAACTGACAGACAAAACACACCTGTCTCCTGAACTTTATCCCAGACTCCTGCAGGACAGGAAGATCTGGAAACGTAAAGCACCTGGGGGGGGCTGTCCCTGTCTCTCCCTCTCCCTCTCATCTGTAGATCTCCCAGGACAACAAAATGGCCTTTGGCTCCCACCGCGTTCATCTGTTGCTTTCTATGACTAAAATAAGCACATTGGGATAATATATAAATAACACAATTTCCCTCAAAAGGTCAACGGTATATGGACAACTGCAGAGTGGCCCATATTGCAGTTTTGCCCCGAGGTTAACTGACTGTTAATCTGACAACATCAGGCACAGCCAAGACCGGCTCCACAGTAAACAGTACAACTGTTGTCTCCCAATCATTTGTTTTTTAGGTGTATTGTGTGAAAGGTGTATCACCAATCTTAATTTCAATGATCATTCCAGGGCCATTCTGATATTATTTTGATATAATGCACCATTTTAAAATGTGTTGCTCCTACTACATTATTTATAATACTATATAGTTCATTTACACATTCTACATTCAGTGGCCAGATACATGGCAAATTCAAATACACGTATGCAGGTTTAGGAAGTAACAGATTACATGTAATGGAGATTGAAAAAAAAAGGTGACTGTAATCTATTACAGTTATAGACATCATCAGATTTCAGTTACATTTAGTAAAAAAATGGTTTTAAAGCAGAAATGGAAACAACATCAGAGCACAGTGCAAGTTCTGCCTTGCAGTGAAAATGGTCATTTGGCTACTGGCTGAATTTGCTTCATGAAAGTACATTTTTCTTTAAGAAATACACTGAGTAGATTATTGAACAGACACAGTTTCGATGCTAAAAAGTACGTTGTTGTGTTGACTTATACAATTCTTGTCATCTTAAAAGTAACAGAAAATAATCAAGTTACACTACCTTAATATTGTGATATTGATGATAAAAGAACAAGGACAAGTTTTCTTTTGCAAATGCAATCTGGTTCCACTAATTTGATTTATAATTTGAGCAATTCAATTTCTGCCATCAACCTTTCAAACATATCAAGTCATTATGCGGGCCTTATTTATTTTCTGTTTCAAATCTGGGAAGCTTCAGAGCAACTACACTGGTTGTCCTATACTCATTGAACATGCACACACACGCACACACACACACACACACACACACACACACACACACACACACACACACACACACACAGCGTATGCATGTATGTGTGTAAGGTTCATTGCTAATTGTATTAGACTGAAGCTGTCGGTAGCAAATACTTTGGGACAAAATTTCCATATGCTTCTTTACATTACATCACAAAACATTCACAGTGAGAAAGGGCTCACAGACAGCATATCATATCGGTGATCACGGGACAACAAAACCCTCCAAAGAAACCAAAGACCAATTAAATTATTTCAGGTTAGACAGAAGCTCCAAAAGACAGGGTTAATCTAGGATGCAGGGGGTCTTTAAACAAGGAGACTGCATCAAAACATAATTTAATGAACAGTAACTATTGTTTTGGTTTTGTTTTTCCAATAAGAAAACCTTAATAAGGACAAATTTAACTGGATGATATCTGTCATTTCATAAGAAGGCCAGAAACTATGAGAAACAGCCAATGGAAAGCACGCACAACATTGCAGTTACTCATTTGTGCCCATAGATGTTCTCCATGTGCCGCCACACACATCTCCACTAACTTAAACCATCATCCTTCAGCCACTGGATGTCACTCTTTAGCCAAGCAAGCATGCATGCTCTTTACAGTGTGCATCCAATATTGTCAGAGGAGCTGTAATGTATCAATGTATGAATGTATATAGGATCATTGCATATATTCCCTAAAGCTATTATAGTTTACAACGACTGCCAGAAGCATGATAGCCAGGTATTAATGGGATGTTGCATCACATCACATCATTATTTCCACTCTCAACCACACAAATATAATTAGTCAAATATGTATTTTATTACACTTAATACTAAAATGACTGTATTTAATATATACATTGGATAGAACATTACGCAGAGAAGAGGGTCATAATGGCCACCCCTTTGTTTGTTCTAACTAAATGATGTCTTTGAAGGGTTCAGCTCATTTAAAGCGCTCGTTTGAAGCTAATGTGGACTGATCACATGTTTCTGATGCCCTGTCCTACCAAGCACATCAGATGACGAGCAGAATCAAGAGGAAGTATCCTGTTGTTGCGTCAAGCTACCCCGTAAAAATCACAGGCAGGATATCGAGCGCTTGGCCTTCAAAATAAAGCCAGGACTAGAGCCTTTGGTACAAAAATTGAACTATATTGTAAAAACACAATTACTTCTACTACCACTATTAATGAATAATAACAATATATACTTTATTTATAAAAGGCATTAAGCACAACCGTAATTGCAGGATGAATAATAAAAACAACTTATAAAGGAGACCTATTTACTCAGTTGTAAGGACATTTAGAATGTGATGGTAAAAAAATCCCACTTTTTTCAATGTGCCTTGCAAAAAACAAAAAAACCAAGAATATCATGCCACATTTCATACACAAATGTTATTATTTTGTATGTGTGTAAGTTGAATGTCTCAGTGTGGGGTGAACAATTTAGGTTGTTGACACAAAAGGAAACGTTATGTAAATTTGTCCTAACTATTATTTATTTATTATCATGATTTGTATAATTTTTAGATTGGGAGGTCTGCAGAAGATTTAAGACTTTTTATACATTTAAAGTCTGACTGAAATGATAAATTAAATTTTAACACATTAAGATTGCATCCTCAGTCCTTGTTGGTGTGTGCCAAAGAAATGACAAAAACTCAGTTTATTAGATTTTTTATATCTAAATTCAATCATTGTGTCTTCTTGTAAAACAAAATGTTACACATGCTTATGTAAACATGAATCAACCAATTTCAACCAATAATATCATCATATTCACTCATCAATCATTCTTCTACTTTTACCATTATAAAAACAAAGAATTTGAATTAAATTAAATAATAAAGGAAAGCACTGAGTGAAAGAAGATTATGATTAAAGGCTAATTATTGTATGAACAGAAGGAGATCAGTTTGCTGCTTTAATGTGTCTTTTAATTTGAAAATTGCAACCGGAAATCTGATTCATTCCGGTGTAATTGACCTTTGCCCACTCAAACCCATGACAGAATAGTGCTGGCGGGCTAGTTGCTAACAAGTTGACTGAATAGCGGTAGTATATGGACAGTAGAAACCGTACCAGTAATTTTAAAATTATTTTTTTAATGTACACACTTTAATATCGGGCCAACATGGCGCCGCTGGGCTGAGGAAGACGCGAGACATCGCCAGCTGAAGCCGCGAATGTTTAGAAACAAACATTAAAACGTCGTCAGCTAACAGTTAGCAGACAGACAAACGTCCCTGAGGACAGCCTGAATATTTACAGCCACCGTTCCCCTTCTGTGAGCCAGTCGGACAACCTACCGGGAGACCCCCAACGAAGCAAAGGTGAGTGCCGGGAAGAAAAAAGAAACAAATAGCGGTAACTAAACACTAAAACGCTGACTTCCACCACATGCTAATGTTGATTAAACGCAGCTAGCTTAATTGCTAATTCGCTGTGTGTGTGTGTGTGTGTGTGTGTGTGTGTGTGTGTGTCTGTGGCGAGTTGACAGCCGTGACTCTGCAGTCGAGCAGTGCGTACTATTATGTAATAAGCCAGGGCTAGCGATAGCTGAGTTGTAAGTCTAGCAGCTTCTCCATCTCCATACGCTTCCCTCGCATCCTTGCGTCGGTCCCAGCTCATACTTCAGTGTGGACGTTTGGAGCAGTAGTCTTGTGTAACGTTAGCTGTTTGCAACCGTGCAGTTTTAGGACACAGTGTGCTGTGCTGCAAAGGAACTGAGGGGTAAGGCATGTTTCATTTTAATTTCCTGCAATCCCGCGGTATCTGGGAGATCTATGGATGAAGCTGTGGGTGTGAAATCTGTTCGTTTCAGTGCAGTGGTGAGAGTGTTGCTGCCTTTCTTCCATTACCCCCTCTGCATCATCCTCAAACATATGATCCTGCTGCAGTGTTACATGTCTGCAGCCTCCTCAGCCCTGCTGGTGCTCTGTTACCACTTTCACCTGACAGGAGCCAGGAGCAGAAACAGGAGACTGGCCAGCAGTAAGAACTGTTCCTAATTGTGTCAGACAACTGATGCATCCGGCAGATCCTGGCCTGTTAACAGATATCTGATATCAGCCTGTCATGTAATCCACCAGAGTTTTCATGGAGCTTTGTCCTTTTTCTCTGCTTCTGTTCCTGCCCTTTATGTAGGAGAAGTGAGAAGCATAACATTCTGGTAGAAGCAGCAGTCTTTTTGGCCTGAAAGTGGTCAGATTTAAAGCTCCAGTGTGTAACATTTAGGCGGATATATTGGCAGAAATGGAATATAATAGTCATAGGAGTGTTTATATGAGTGTATTATCACGTGAATATGGGAATTGTTGTGTTTTCTTTTTGTAACCTCGGATTGCCTTCCATCGTGTCCACCATGTTGAACCTCTATGTTTGTACAGTCGCCGAGAAAAGCAAACACTGGCTCGTGTTTTGTGTCCACCGTAGTTTCTCCTACACACTTCAGATCCCGTTCTCATTCCCAGGTCATCAAATACGGATGCAAATGGCGTTCAGTTAGTTGCAGTCTGCAACTTCACTGCTAGATTCCACTGAAACCTTCACACTGGTCCTTAACACTGAAAAGACACTGAATAATGGATTTAAAACGTTAACAAGGGCCAACAACTTCATAGACAGCTGCGTATTTTGGTCTAGATCATAGATAAGAATTGAGCAGACTTGTAAGTGACCGCAGATGATTTAAGTCAGTCGGTTTATTCTCTGTACTTGTGCCAAATTTGGTTCTGCCACTCACATACTGTATTTCCATGTTTTCCATCCTTTGCTTATTTGCATGTAAATCCCGGGCTTTCCATGTCAGACTTTAGCTAAGGTGAGGCTCGCAGGTCAGGGTCACATGAGCGACCAGCTTATTTGCCAGCCAAATAGAGTTTCCATTCTGCCCTTCTTGAACCACAGCTTGTTGCCTGCACAGTGTGCGCTGCTCTGGTAGACACACACGTAGCTCTAAATTTGAATGCAGAATCTACTTCGGGAGCACCAGCACTGTATGAATACATTGTGAAAGGAAACCACCAGTAATAGATCATTTTTGTCTGGGTTGTTTGTGAGGTGATGGAAGGAAGACACTGAACTGGAAAAGGAAAGTGAAATGGTTTTTCCTCATTGGGCAACACAACCAGTATAGCCATGCACACAGCAGAATCCAAAAAGTCTTTTTTTTAAATTTTTCTATTAAATCTGGATGCCCTTTAAGGTCATCCTGGGTTAGTGCTGCAACTAATAATTATTTTCATTTGCCTTTTATCAATAAGATTATTGTTTCAATTTATAATTTCTGTAAATTGTCAGAAAACTTCAAAATGTGCTCATTTTAATGCTTGATAAATGACTGAAATGATAAGTTGCATATTAGTTTTCTGTTGATAGCCTAATTAGTTAATTGACTAATCATTTGAGCTCCAGCTGGGTTATTTGTATAAAGTGAAACTGCCCAATATAGATCCAGAAGTTTATAAATTACAAGAGGGTGTCACATCATGTGGTCTCTGCTCAACATGTATCTTAAATGACACAAAGCACATCAAGTGTTTTAAACAAAGTGAGTATTGAGCAACAGCCTGTCAGCTTATCAGTTAAAATCAATTGTCTGCAGAAAAATCTGTTCAATTAGCTATTTATTGTAACCTAATAGAAAGGCTATATGGAGAACTATGGCCATAGGCTTTTAGGGGCTTTAGTGGAACATTCACCTTGAGATGCACAGTTATGTTAATGAATCTGAATAATTATGCCAAGTGCAGGGCGAGAGGACTCATTTGTAGCTAGGAGAGAGGCTGTTTCTTTGGATACTATCCATTTCACACGGCCTCATCTGCACAGAGCATTTTGAGCGGCTGCTATATTCCTGCTTTATATAAATCATCAACATTACATGCACACATGCAATTCTAAGCATGGACAAATCAAACCTTTCACTGTAAGACAGAATACTGTACAGCCACGCCACATGCATCTACACTGGTTTTTACACAGCTGAAAGGTGCAGTCTTGTGTCCACAGTTGCCTTCATTTGCGTTTTATTGTTTTATGTGTGTGCACATGCAGAAGAGTTAATGCGGGTAAAACTGGTAGGACAAAATATGGCTAGCAGATTTGACTGACGTTTTATACACTCTTATTTTTCCAGTAATGGTTTACTGAGCATGACAGCTCTTTTCAGCACCACCTTGTTCTTCTCATACACACGTCATTTTCTACACCCTTCCTGTACAAGGGAGGGTTTCAGTGTATGTTTGGTTTCACTATCCCACGTTTCATTATACTACCTCAACTACTTTCATGGTATGAAGAGGTCAGCAGTAATTAATTGAATTGATTGGCTATGTTGAAGTGACAACCTAATGTTGAAAAAAGGTAAAAGCAACATATATATTTAATCAGAACATGCTTTAAAAAAAAAGCCATAGTCTGTGACATAGTTAAAAACTGCTGATCTTAATGTTTACAGATTAGTATAGACGGAGTAGAAGTCTAAGTTGGAGCTTATCTCTGCTGATACAGATACGGCTAAAAGCCTTGTGAAGTCCTTTTATAAAGGGCTTCACAGCAGCCACATTATGAAACAATAAAACAGACCCCTCAACTTGAGTCTCTCACTGAACAAATATTCACCTGTCAGCAAGTCCCCCAGCAGCCTTGTCTCTTTCCTGCCTCCACACTGTAACACCATTAGGAGCTCTAACAAATGCTGTGTTGCTCATGAAGTTATTGAAATGCCAAGACCAGAGCATCAGTGCGGCGTAATGGTCCCAGCTGGGACACTCAGGCCACTGGCTGTGGTTTGGCTGATTGGATGCATTTGCTCTGACAAATGCCAGATGTGCTCGAAGTGAGATAGTTACCTCTCACTTCTTGTCAGTGTGGATTTATCCAACAGCAGCTCACAAATCAGGTTACGTTTTGGGCCGCTTTCGTTCAGCAGCCTTTATTACCATCCACGAGAGCGTTAGCCGAGGCTTACCAATGAAAACAGCTGTTTTTATTCCAATGAAACCACATTATTGTGTACCTTTCATTTCACCGCTTCAGCCTTCATTATTCCGAGAAGCTTGACTACCCTCGCCTCCCAACTGAACAAACACGCTTTTAATTTGCACCTGTCTCCGGTGATAAAGGCTTTAGTTAAGTGTGGTTTCTTGTGTCAGGCTTGCACCAGGTCCACTGCTGAGCAGGATTTGTTATTTGATAAAGGAGCGTGGGCGTGTCGAGCCCTTTATGAATGTCCCAGCCCATTAACTTCAGTGTCCACCCTCGCCAGGCCCCCAGAGCATAGCTTCAGAGGAAAGGGAACCTTATTACAGCCCACCTGAACTGCATCTTCCTCCTTCATCCCAGAGAGATCTGCTGTAAAATCCAACCACAAATGGCTTAAGTTGCAGTGTTGGCTTAGAATCTCCTTTACTCTAGATTTAAAGTATCATCTCTAAGTTTTGTATGCTTCATTGACTCCAATTGATAACAAATTGAGAATTAAATCATGTCATATGAGCGTTTTCATTAATCCAGACATTCAAGGACAAAACCTTTGATCTCCTGAGTCACTTGAACCATTCCTCCAAAGCTGATTTTGTTAGAAACTTTAAGCAGATTATAGCAGTGAGTCCCCCTTTTAAAATGGAAAACATTAAGATGACTTCCTCAAAATGGCCTCACTAATCTTTCACACCAAACGCGTATACATGCAGATTTTACACTGGTATAAAGAGTATTACCCATTCTACAAAGCAGCTACACTGGGACCTAATATTAATTTTCCCAGCTTGGTATCCCCATCCTCTCTGATATTTTTTTGCCCCTCTGACTGATTGGGCTGTGTGTCTCTATTTTCCCCAACTGGTAAAAACTCACAAGGTTTTTTTCCTGACATTACAACATGCTTCTCTGATTGATATCCGCAAGGTGAACATATGATGTGATTGATCAGTCGGTCACACGCTGAGCTGAAGCAGACAGATCCTGACGTATTTCTTCATCTTATTGATCTGGTTACCAGATGACAGATTAAACAGTTGCCTCACGCACACCCTGAACCACAATAAGCCCAGGCAGAAAATAGCAAACAATGAAACAATGACTTTGCTCTGTGCAATGTAGCAATCGTGTGTTTGGTGTAGGGTTATTTTTTTTACCAAAATGTAGTACAAAACACATGTTCCTTAATGATGAATGGATTATCAGTTAGGTGTTGAGAGAGATTTCACCATCTTTATTCAACTTTTTCAATGTGAAAGACCTTGACTAGTTGAATAAAGCATCCCTCCAGAATGCCCTGTTCCTTTGCACTTTGGTTGCATCATCGTGCGCTTTAAGTGTTCTTTGCTACCCACAATATGAATCGTACCTGAGCCTTACCCTCCCAGAGGAATCTTGCTTTGCTGCATAACTGTCATTACAGCCACAGCCACCAAACGTACAGAAGGCGCCGCTGCCAGTCCACACCAAAAGGAAACGCATTGTGTCTGAGATCGTGAGCTGACTCATGAAAGCTCGGCTGGGCCTGTAGGCGTAACCTTTGACCACACCCACAACTGTACTGAGGGCATTACAAAATGAACCAAGCATGTCCTTGTGTTCTTTGAACACGATGGGAACAAAGGCACTGGAGTATGCCCTTTCTTCTGCCCCATTATCCTCCTTGTTCACTGTGGATGCTTTTTGAGGGGTTTTTAGTTGTAGTGGCCGTAAATGTTTTTCCGGAAGAACAAAGGCAATATACTTGTCGTAAACAAAAAGAAAAATTATTTCAGAGGGATGTTTGATCATAAATGTAGGACCAGGTATTTTAGTAACTGAACAACTTGCTGATTCCCAGTGCTCTTGATGTTTTTGTTTCAATTTTTCACAGCTTGTCTCTCTCTATTTTAAAACAGGGAGCAACTATTATACATGTCAGACAATTGGCAACCTCAAGACATCATTAACCATTTTCCCCCGAGCACCTGTTATCAGCTGCTTAAAAAACACAGGAGTGAATCAAGGGAAGCTGGTGGCAGTGGATGCTCTTTTAGGGGCATTGTCTGTCCTCACGTTGAAAGCAACTTTATCACATTTTGACATCACATGCGCAGACATACATCCACACCTATTAACGGACGGTATTAACGGCCAGAGCTGTGCCCTTAGCTGTTCTTGAATGGTGTCCAATCGCACGTCAAGCCTCTGTCCAGCTCAGTTGACATTGGGGTGGATTATTTTATAGCTGCAGAGTGGTGTGTGTATGCTGGCCTAAATTAAGGACAAAGTTATTGGTTTGCATTGGAATTAATGGATTGTAACTTTAATATTGAATGTAACTCAATTTAATGTCCTATCAGTCCCTCCAGGATCTTACAGAGAGAGAGAGAGCTTTATGTGACTTAAGTACAACTTGGCAATAAAATGTTCAGACGTGACCTGGTCATGGGTACAGCTACAGTCTGTGCTTGGCTCAGGCTTTGTTGTGAAGCTGAAGGAGTTAATGAGTGTAAGTGCTCTGCTTTATAGCGTCCTGATTCTTTCATTCAGACTCCAGAGTCCTGTGCACAGCTGCAGCTCTTTGAGGGATGTGCAATGTTTTGCTTTTGATGAGCCTGTTTGATTCAGCGGGATGATGATGGTGATGCTTTGTTTTGCTGAGCTCACGCTCAGAGAGAGAGCGTTCAGTGTTCAGTAAGAATACAATTTCTCATCACACCAGAAGGATAGCACCCACAGTTATAGTCAACAGACCAGCTTTGAGCTTTGACAGGCATTTCAGCCTCTATGTGCTGTACATCTCCACCGTATTATTGGTAGATTTCTCTCTCCGTGTGTCACAGCTCTAAACTTGCAGATCTTTCTAAGTAATGTCTGAAGGCACAGGTGATTTGGGCCAAACACAACCCATAAGGAAGGAGGAGGGAGGAAGCTGTTTGGCCTCAGGGGGCAATTGGCTTTTAGTGTCTCTCCTATATCCCCAGTGTTACAACAAGCAGTCGTAACGCAAGGGTGATTGTGAGTGACGTGATATTATTACTGATTCCTGATCCAGATCTGAAGTACTAGGATAGCAAATCGAAGGAGACCTTAAAGACGGAAGTTAATAAAAGGAATGTGTCTGTATCTATATCTCTCGGCTGAATATGATTCAAAACAAAACTTTTCTTTTGAGATGAGGTGTTTGAGATTAAGCCTTACTTTTGTTAACTCTTATTTTTGTCTCTCTTATTTCCCTTTTGTGCTGTTCTTATCAAGACTTTATTGTTTTCTCAAAGTTCCTTTTGCCTTATCACGATTTAGATAAGTTATCTTTGTGGGCCATGTCTACACCTTCTGTTCAGGCTGATCAGGCTTTACTGAGACTCTGGGCAAACATTTGGACTGATAATTGCTGTTATTTGTGAGAAAGAAGGCCTCTTTCTTCAACAAAGAGATTTTGAACTTTGAGGTATTGTTGGAGAATTAAGCTGGCTGTGCTTTGCCCTCCGCCTCACTTTAAACTCTAGCAGAGCTCACTGCAGTTGCTGACAGAAAGAGTGTCACACTGCAAAACTAACTCCACATTACAAGTTTTAGGTCTTCATCTTCATTCTCATTAATCCCCTTTAAGATGACTATTCATTGAAGTGGTGTAATCTCCTCACATGGTCACGACTTGTGCACCATTGAGCAAGGTCAGACCAGTCTCTCATTCAAAAGCTCATTCACAGGCAGCGAAAATATCCATCCCAGTTTCTCAAAGTCCAAGGTGATGTCTTTAAATGTCTTGTTTTGTCGGTCCAAAACCCAAAGATGTTCAGTTTAATATGATATAAAACAGAGAAAAGCAGGAAATCTTCATTTTTGAGAGGCTGAAAACCATTTTTGCATGAAAAAGAATAAATATTTTACAGATTAATGAATTATCAAAATAGTTGACTATTATTTTCTGTCGATCGACGGATTGGTTAGTCAACTAATCGTTGCATCTCTACTTGTAAGTCACATTAGCTCCCAGAGAGTCTCTCTTATTTTCGATCAACTGTTCTGTTTACAACCAAAATAGAACTTGCCCCCCTGTGGGCAAATCACGGTGATTCCATTGGTATTAGTTGAACTTCCCTTGAAATTGTGCTGTTTTCAGTGCTGGTGTTACTAGGCTTTTTTGCAGCATCTTTGTATTAGCAGTGTCTTATTATATTGGAAACGTAAGTTTTAATTCCATGACCAAGATCTGGTTGACAAATGGGTTTTGGCAACAAGTAATTATATAAGCGGATGCAGTAATCAAGTTACTAGTCCTTCTGACCAACAATTGCATTAACCCTAACCTGATACATTCGTTATTTATGCAATTGTTCTGTTAAAAAGCAAACAATTTCCAACAGTAATTATCCATTTATTTAAAAAGATGAGGGACTAATTTGGCTTATAGATATTTCCTATACGTGTTGTCTGATCATCCACTGCTGTCCTTACCCAAGTTGCATCACCCAGCTCTACAGCCTATCGGCCACAGGCAAGCAGATAGGCCCGTCCATACAACTAGGTAATTCAGTTTATTATGATGCATCTATCTGAGACTGTTGGTTTCTTTCTATTGAGCAAATTTTATTTAGGAGATTTTTCCCGTCAGTCAGTGGATGTCTGGAATATTAAGGAGTTTTGACGGTAAATGGGCATTTGATAGATTTTCCAGAAGAGATGTGTTTTTCCCTCAGTAACTCACCCACAGCTGGGTGCTTTTGTCAGCAGCATGTATCCCCTGCAGCTGGATCAGTACACACACACAACACACATAACAACATAGGAACACAACACATACATCCTGCATGTTACACACAAACAAGCGAACAGACTGCTCATGGTCTTAAAATATAAAACAAATGCTACTACATCATAAGCCAAACCAAAAAGAAGAATCTACAGGATACGGAGCTTAGAGCCTGATAACACTCCCATGGCCACAATGACATGGCAGGTTGGTGTAGAAATAGGACATGAGGGAAAAGATAGGGAGGATTCATTTTGATCTTCCGAGACACAAGATTGTATTACCTATGAGTTCAGGGTGAGCAGCTTCCTGGTGGCTCACTGAACCTGAATCCCCTTAACCAAGACACCACAGTGGGCTTATATTGGGCATTTATCATTATTTTGGAAATGTTACAGAGTGATTAGAAAAACAATTGAATGATCAGTCGTTAGATGTGGCCCTTTCCCGTATAAACCCATCCTGTCTCTGTCTGCTCCACCCCCCCACCCCCCAAAAGGCGACTTAGGCATAATAAAAACTCCTAATACAAACATTTTTCTTATGATTTAGCAGGATACATAGAGTTTGCAAAGTGCAATGGAAAAATGCATAAAAACAATACAATATTGCCAAAGATATCCTCAAATTCCCAATAAATTCACCATACCTGGCAAAGCAATTTAAAAAAAGCCAGATTGCGTTAATATCTGTGTTCTGGGTTTCCCTCAGGAAATTGGTTAACAGTGGTGGTCGGCACTCTCAATTCTTTCGTTTATTGTTTTATTTTAAATACTGAACCAGAAAATCCCCCCAAAATGATGTCTCCTGCCACAAAAACAACTGAACGCAGGCGGTGACACACTGGATAACATTTAAGCTAGTCACTGAGGAGGATGAATTTTTCACTAATATGCTGCTGAGAGGGTATTGTTGACCTTAGCTGTCAGTGTCATTCCTCTGAATTTGGTGTTCAATAGCGCGTGTCTCTGTAAATAATAAAACAGTAACTGTCAGGAGATGGGGCCAGTCGGAGGCAGCGTTGGCTCCTAACTCTAGCGTTATTTGCCTTGTGTTTACTGCACTTCTTGGTACCTTTACTGCCAGCATGGTTGATGGTTTAAACAGTGGCCCTACTCATATTTTCATAAGAGCAAATCACTGTGATTTAACAAATGAGTATAGTAATAAATCAGATATTTCAGGTGTTTTAATACTCTACTGTGTGTGTGTGTGTGTTTGGGGGCCGTGGGGTTGTAGACTCTAGTACATTGAGGTCACATCCAGCAGGGAATGCTCCTATGTAAAGCTTACTCCTCACTGTCACTGCACACACACACACAGAGGGAGCTCTCGCTGCCGCTCCGGCGCCGACACCGGCAGCCCTGCAGCACTAGCCTACATTTCAGAGGAGGAGGAACAAAAATATGGTGATGTCATCTCTATGTCTCTCTCTCTTTCTCTCTCTCTCTCTCTCTCTATCACCCTCTGTCAGAGGCTGTGTTGTGAATGTAATGGTGCTTTCTGCTACCCAAGCTGCACGAGGTAGGTCTTCCATTCACCTCCCCGCGCTCTCTCGCACATGTGCATGCTGCATCACTCCAGTTGCCCTCCATGCCTCTGTGTTTGTGTGCTTTTAAATGTACCTGTGCTTGGATCTGGATAAATGTAGTCTGTTTATGTTCCTGTGTGTTGAACAATCTCACTCTTGAGGCTTCTTTTGGGTGTTTTCACGCTCTGTACGCGTGTAAGAAGGCTCTGTTAGGGTAACAGATGCTAATGCGCTGAGGTCACATCACACCACAGCTTGAAGATGTGTCCTGATACTCGGCTAGCTACTCAGAATGTGTCTGGTGGTGTCAGACTGCAGATAGCTGTTGAAATCCCAGGCTGGAGACCAGGTGGTGAATCATATTTGTCCAGCTCCTGACACCGCTGATCATGTAGAGATGGCAACTACGATTCCCGTCTTCCAGCCCCCCCCCTTTCCGCTCTTTTCTTAAAAGGTCATTCTCAGGGCACAGGAAGATCATCTACCGCTGTGACCTTTGCACTTACTCGTTAAGTCCGCTAATCCTTTAAAATATAAAAAATATGAACAATCTTTAGGCATCTCAGCCTCACATGATTTCTCCCTTTCCTGTTATGCAAGAGGTATCACATACACAAACAGACACACATTATTCAACTCAGGCTGCGTGCGTCACACACATTTTCACTGTGCATCTCTGTAGCGGAGCTGTGGCTCTGTTCTCTCTCTGTTTTTCCGCACCGTCTCTGTGGCAAGCGAGGATTTTGCGCTGTCCATTTTGAGCCAACAGCCAGTTAAAACGCCACGCAGCCGCAGTGTTTCTCCTACAACGGGACTGGACACTCGGAGGTCATCACAGTCTCCTTGACACCACAGCAGTTCAGAGCTTCTCATCGTCCCTCCTCCTCCTCATCAGCATTCCCATCCACACGTTGATCTCATGGATCAGATAAATGAATGTTAAAGAGCGCAGAGTCCCCTTGTTGCATTTAAAAGCGTAATACAGTTTTAATTTTGCAAGGTGACACGCTTGTGCTCTATAACCGTGCTCCCACAATAAAGAGGAGATATTATAGGAAGAAAAGAGATTGTCTGTGATGTGGGGATTTTGCTGTTGGAGATGTTATTAAAGCACCACATGAGCTTTGTTTTAACATGAGGAACCAATAAGAATGCTCATTGTATAATTCTGAATCTGTTTTATTTACATGATAATGGTCTTGTTTCTTGTCGAGCACTGTTCCATTTCACTGTGCTTCAACTAACGATTATTGTCATTATCAATCATGTCGATCATTTTCTCGAATAATCAGTTAGTTGTTTGGTCCAGAAAATGGTGAAAAATTTATTTCCCAAAGCCCAAGCTGACATCCTCAAATTTCTTGTTCTGTCCTGTCATAGAGGACTAAAGAAACCGGAAAATATTCACATTTGAGAGGCTGAAATTGTAATTTGTACATTAAACATACTAAAACAGTGAGTCAAAATTATGAATTGATTATCCAAGTAGTTGGCAATTAATTGAATAGCGGACAACTAAATGATTAAATGACACATTTTTGCGGCTCTAATGCAGTGGCAAGGGCGTGGAAACCAGCTTTAATGGACTGAATGTGGCACATGAGGCGATATGACATTGAATTACAATCAGATGATGATCTAAACCGTGGCTAGAAGTGTGGCAGCAAATGCTGTCGTAACTATTACTATAGAGGACGAGCTGAAGTAGAAATAGCTAAATATCAAGTAGAGAGGATTATAAAAACATTAAAAAACATGTCTGGTGATATTCTATGTTTCTCTCCCATGAAAAGACCAAATCAAAACTGATAAATATTGTGTGTGTATCTAAAGCCTGTGCCATAGACTTTTAAAAACACATCAGTGAGCCACACTGTTGCTCTGGGTGACATGTTCCTTCCTTACCAGCAACACACACACACACACACACACACACACACTCACACACACACACACACACACACTAGTTTATTTTGACTCAGTCCCACATACACCGTCCTGCTGACCCAAATAATCACTAGAGCACAAAATGAGTACCGGTATTAGTCCGCAGCTGAAATTGGTCGCAAAGCTTTTAACACCTGTTGGGTGCCCAGCTGTTTTGTGAAATTATTTGGCCTTTAAAAAATAAAATAAATGAAAGTATACATTTGTGACCTGTTAGGAAACAATAGGCCTGGGGGGTCTGACAGCTAAACATGAGAGACAGACTAACCGTTGTTGGGTTAGGTCTTTTATTTGACAATCATCAAACATATAGAATAACAGTAGCTTTATTCTTTTAACTGCTGCCTGTTGAGGTGTTTTCCACCTTTGCAGTAATCATTTAGTATCTTTCCAGCACAAACTGGCACGGAGCAAGTCAGGTTTTAGAGGACACCCACTGTCTCTCTCAAGGGAGGCTGCGGGGAGCCAACTACATTTATAGAAAGTAGGGAAATAACCTAAAGACTTTTTTCCATGTCTGCAAGCTATTCTGGTCAGATTTAGCAAGCCAATGCAAGGCTTCCGAGTGACTCAACCTGCTTTATACATTTTTTTAAATATAATTTCTGCTTTGTTGTTATGTATATGCACTCTCTCAGACCAAACCTCAAGGATGCTTTAATGTGGAGGGGACAGGATGTACGTAAAGGCATCTTGTGTTTATGAGATTTAATCTGTGGCTGACAGATGATATTTAATTGTGCAGTGCTGTTAGATCTGCAACTCTATTATTTTTCTAAACCACAGAATGATATGTAACCGTCCTGTCCTGCATTATCTCCTTACACTGAAAGTGTTGTTGGGTCTCCTACATGTAGTATCGGATTTCTTTACATTTGTCACTGATATTTATACATTTCTGTTCTTGTCAGGAGGCTGGAAAGTGATTCTTATTCTGGTGAAACAGTGCTGGATTCTCTGTGGTCGAGCAAGGCAATCCTCTGCCTCTACTTACATGGTTGATTAATATTCCTCACTCCCTGACCTACATGGATTAATTCTGTTTAAAGATGTCTCCCCCTGAGCACAGCATCAAACTGGGACAGGCAGAAGATTATGTTGGACCAAGCGACTTGAATGTCCCCTCTCTCCTTCTCTTTATACTGTTTTAATTTCCATAGAGACCATATTTGGAAGAGCCTAATCATTTTATCCTTTTTTTTTGCAGAGGTAAAAAAGTTGAAATGCGTACTTCACGTTACAGTCTACCTGGAATGTGTGTGTCCATTGACAGTACAAGGAGGAAAAAGTCTGGTAGGAAATAGAAACTCCTTCTCCCTGCAGCATTTAAACAGCCACTCCATGCAGAATCAGACGGGGCAAAATCTAGAACTAAAGCACTGGGAGGGGGGAGGGAGGGTTTATAGTGAAAGATATGCAGCGTTATGTCATGAAGGGTGCTGGATTTCAGCATATGATTAGTAAAGTGGTCATTTTTATATAAAAATAACAAAGCAGCATTTTTTGTTTGCACTAATTAGGAAACCTATTCTTTAAATCAAGATTTGACAATGAATATGTGTTCATGGTCCTTGTATTATTAGTCAGATTTATGTTAAGGTAACAACAGCTTTGCAACTGTTCCAGCCCTACTCTGCACCCATGCTGTTGTCATCAGCTTGTTTTGCCTGTCCAACAGTTCAAAAATATATAATTCACTGTCATGGCATATCCTCACAAGCTAAAACCAGAGAATAATATGCCAATTGTCAATTGTAAGATGACTGAAAAGATTGATCAATTATCAAAATAGTTGACGATTGACTAATCAATTAATTAACTAATTGTTGCAGCTCTAATTTTTAGCCATGCTTGCAGCGTCTCTCTGGTTATTACAATGCTGTATGTCAGCCCGCCACTTTCATCCAGACCGATATTGAATGGATTGCAGTGAAATTTGATACAGATATACAGATACCCTTCAGGATAAATTATAGTAACTTTGGTGATCCACTGACTTTTCATGTAGTGCCATCTTCAGGTCCAAATTTGAATGTGTCCAATATTTCGGTTTATGGGCAAATACCTGCGAACCTGTTGGCATGTTAGCATGCTGACAATAGCATTTATCTCAAAGCACCTCTGTGCCTATGTATAGCCTCACAAGCCCTACCATGACTGTAGACCCTTGTTAAGTTATAGCATTGGCCTTGAGGCTGGCTATTTCTATATGGATTGACCTCCCCTTCTTCCTCATAGTTGGTCATATTCATGTACTGGTGGTACTTGTCAGTAAACTTGAAGAAACCTATCCTGAGGCTAGGTGTCTGACTGAAGTATCTGGCTTCTGTGGAGCCAGCACAGGTCTCAAAAGAAGCTGACAGCTATTTATTGTGATATTTACTTGTGGTTTGGTGGCACGGGCAACATTCAGACAAATACATGATTTCAGCATGCACACAGGATTACAATCTGACAGTGTATGATATTAGTTATGTTATTTTCAGTGCTCTTAGCCCTTACCATCTCAACAAACCATTGCTATCTGCAGCCAACAACTCTACAGCAGCACAACTTTTCATTGTCAAGATCTAGAAAAACAAGCTTTTGCTGTGAACGATTCTTGTTGGAGATTACCTAAAAGCTCCATCATCACTCAGCAGGAGTGGAGACAATAGAGGCCTCGTTCAGAATTATCAGAGTGGCTGACTGTCGCTTCAAGGGGTGGTGTTGAAGAAGAGATTGAAGCCTCAGACAAAAACATAATGACAATTGTCTGTGCTGTGGTTTAATGTTTGAATTATATTGGTGAAGTGGGGGAAAATATCAGGGAACAACATGCAACAATGTAACAATCTTATCCTTTGCTGTTATCCCTCATCTAGCATGGCAGCACACCGTATGTCTCACTTAACTACGAGTAATCATTTCCCAAACACTCGGCAGTAACGGCAGTGATAGGCCTCTATAGATCTGCTTCCCGGGCTGTCAGAGAGCTGCCTCCCCTTTTGATGATGGACAGCAACATCACTACAATCAGCTTAGGATCCTGAAATGATTGCAGTCCTTTCCTGCCCTGTATAATCTAAAAACAATCAAAATCAAATTCCAAAACAATAGCAACAAGCAATCCAAACAAATACTTTCTGCTTTGCTCGTATTATTTACTAACCAAGCATTATACATTGTGTACAGTGTTTTTGGTAAAACATCCAGCTTCATTCATTCATTTTGTGATATTTGTAATGTTTGACAGACCACAATTACTATTAGTTGATTAATCAATTAGTTGTCAACTATTAAATTAATCTATTTGGATAATTGATTATTCATTTTATAAGGGAAAAAAACAAATTCTTTGATTTCAACTTCTCAAATGTAAATATATTCTGGTTTCTTTAGTCCTCTATGACAGTAGACTGAATATCTTTGGGCAGGGCGCAAAACAAGACATCTCACCATGGGCTTTGGGACATAGTGGTCAACATTTTCTGCCATTTTCTGGGCCAAACAACTAATCAGTTAATCGAGAAAATGATCAACAGACTAATTGATGATGAAAATAACAGCCCTCCTACAGTTAGTATTGTGTTGCACTAATTAAAAGCAAAATATCACCACAGTTAGACCATATTTATAAGTGGAACTGGACTATAATTGTCTGCAAGGCAAAACTTCTAAAAAGTAAAATGTATGTTATGTATATATTTTACTGAAACAGTAGTCAAACAAGCAAACTAGACAGTGTAAAAGGTGAGCGGTAGTTAGTCTAAACCAGCATCAAGAACAAGAGGGACATGACTGGATAAAAATAACCTCAGTTAGGAGTTCAGTTGTTTTTAATGTCAGAGACTGTGTGTCATCATCATCACAGACTCCTTTTTGCATTGGTCATAGTGGTATTGTATCATGAATCCACCACCTTGCCAACTCTCAAAATATGCAGCTGCAGGAATGCTGGAAAAAATGTTTGGTGTTCATTAGTCTTAAGTTTGGCTTAAAAACATACATTATTCCCAGAGGTTTCCCTCCTATCCTTTGGCTGTGTGGAGAAACCCCTCAGCCAGTGTTTCCGGCTTTGTTTTGGGGCCACTGCCAAGCCACAAATTTAGGATTCCCTGTGCGTTTGCCCTCTATCTTTGGCAATGATTCATAGCTCTTAGCTCACAGAGCGCTGTGGTACGACTGAAACGGATTGTTGTGTGCCAGCTCGTATGAAGGGGCAGCAAAGTGTGGGAGAAAGTGAGGACAATAGAACCATAGCGGAGTGGATTGCCTGTCACTGGCTTGTCCATCGCTTATGTCACTGGTTATTTCATAATCAGACTTTGTTATGGAAACAGGAAAAAAGCTTAAGTAGGCAGTAATAATTAGAGTTTACAGTGATACTAGTGGCTGTGTGTACTCATGCATAGCAGTGCTTTGAGCTAAATGCTAATGTCAGCATGCTAACATGCTCACAGTGTTAACATACTTATTAGGTATAATGTTTATCATTTAACCATCTTGGTATAACCATGCAAAATACAGCTGGGGCTCATGGGGAATTGTTTTGTTTTGTTTTGCCCTGCTGGTGATGCTAGAGGAAAAGTGACGGCAACTCGTCCAGTGGGGAACATGAATATCTGTGATAAAATGGAATGGCAAGCTACCAATAGTTGTTGAGACATTTCATTCAAAAACAAAAATATAAAGACCCTCGCCATGTCCCCATAAGGGCAACTGCAAATAGAAGGCAGCTTCAGAGCTAATGTGTGTTTAGTCATCCAAAAAATAAGCTACAGCAGAAGCTGAAGCATATGTTGCACTGACTTTGATAGTGAAAATGTAAGTCAATGGCAAAAAGCTTACTATAGACCCATAAATAAGATAGGATGATTTATGTATCCCAGAGGGAAATTCAGTTGTCTTTGCTGCAACATACTTCAGAGACAAGCAGAGCAGTAAATGTTGACAAAGAATAATGCAAAGCATTTTTTTTTACCTCCCCTACAGTACTGAAAAACATTCCCTGTAGCTGCAGGCCTTGTGTGTTATTTTCCCACCTCAGCTGTGTGGCTGCTGCTCCAGGCTGAGTCATGGACTGATTGCTAAAGCCGGTTTTGAGAAAGAGTGGAAAGCATCTGTCTCAGCTTGACGGGTCCTTGAGAGCCGAGGCCAGATGAAGTGTGTGTGCCGGCTGAAGCCAAGAGGCTGTTGGAGCGCTGGAGCGTTACATTAGTAGAATGACTGGTGGGGGGATTTAGTGACCTTCTCTTTGTCAGGATGTCCTCCTGTCCTCTGTCTGATATTAGGCACTATTTGTCTCTCACGAGTCTCCTAAAGCTGCTTCCTTCCTGCTACCTTTCTTCTTTTACCTTCTTGACACAGTTCTGAGAAAACTCATTTACGAATATTGGCAAGAGAAGAGGAACAAAACTTCAATAGTAATAAAGATTGTATGATGATTATTTGAACCACAACAAAATGGAGTACCACCTTCTCTTGAGTACTGGTTCCACAGAACCGTACTTTCTCAGTACAACACAATCTCTTATTTCCTAGAATGATCTGAATCTCTACACCCTCCTATTCTTTTATCATTATCATCCATGTCCCTGTTGGGGCTATGTATTGGCAAGAAGGTGATTTAAAAAAAAATATATATATTTTTTTAAATTATAGTAAAACTGTCATAATATAAAGAATACAACACCATATGCATACAATTTGTGTAAAAGTTTACTTTGTATGTATAACATAGTGGATCAGCATTTGACAATCAGAACAATGGGATCTGCATTTACCACAGTCTCTGTAACAAACAACATCATAGCACGACTATTTGTGCAATCTTAGTGTTACAGTAGAAGAGTTAAATGACTGAAGATAGGTTACACCACAGCTATTTAGAGGTAGGGTGCCACAAATCTTTGCATGTAAACTATTAAGAATAGAATCAATACATTTTTTTGAGAATTGATACAGTATCATGAAATTCTCAAGTGTATTGATAGTTTGTTACACACCTAGTCCCAATAAGGCACTTATGTGTCTGTTTCAGCTCTGATTGGATCTGGATCCAATCTGGATGAGATGGCTGCTTCTCTGGATCCAATAACTGGTCTCAGCGCAGTTAATAAAGGGAGGCAGGAGCAGAAAGGGGGACTAAACATTCTCTTTTATTTTCACCATAGCTTTATTTCACAAATTACCCACTAAATCCAAAGACATTTACTTGATGCCACGAAGAAGTGGGTCTGAGGCCTTTTCCATTGGTAAAGCTATATCGACTCTCACCTGGGGGGCTACATCACCTTCAATTTATCTTCTTCTAGACAAAAGTTTTATTTCTTCATACAGTCCTTGCATCTGCAGTGTCAGCCTTCAAGTCGCAGCATTTGCTTTCTCAAGTGGCCTCTCGTGGCAACATAGTCTGATAAGGTGTAGTCTCAGCTGGGCTCACAGGTTTCATACCATTAAAATATCCACACGAAACAGCAATCAGCACAAGTGGCTGCCTCCTATAATCTTGAAAGCATTTTTAGGACAACCACGTGTTGGCAGGCAGCTGCTCCACCCAAAATAATCTCCCCGAAAGCGTAGAGTGTAATTAACAGATGGTCCCACTTGTTCATGAAGTCATGTCGAGGATTTAACTGACAGTGGCATTACAATGGCGAACAGCGGGGTTAGGCCTGGATTTCATTGTGTGCAGATACAGCGACTGCATAGAGAACAAATAGGTAATGAGTTAGACTGTACAAGGGCTTGTTGATGGACGGGTGGGTGGGGAAGTGAATGTTAATGGATGGATGCATACAGTTGGCTTTTGTGTGGCTCGGCTTAGCGCATGTTAGCTCTGTTTCCCACAAATCACGTGACCATTTTGATGCGTAGTGTTGCTATGTGTATTTAGTTACTTTTGGTATTAGGGATGTGTGTGGAAGAGTGTAGTGATCTCCCTGTTAAAAGTTAGTCTTAGGGTTTTAATGATATATAGGATTTAAGAGCTTATAATTGTATTGGGGCTAGGTATTGAAATGTGGGATGTAGTGGAGTGGTTGTTGGATATGGAATCGATTTAATCCACAAAGGTACTTACAGTACAGCACTAGTATAATGAAAATGTTTGTCTGTGTGTACTCAAGGGCTTATTGTATCCCCTTGAGTCTTTTTCTTGTGTCTCACATAGAATGCTGCATTGCTGCTTTGATTTGTTATTCTGTTTTGTGCTTTAGCTTTCTTTTGATCTCTTCAAATCTGAGTATGCTAGCAGTGGGTAGGTGTTAAATCTGAGGGTAATAACCAGGTAGAGGTGACTCAAAGTCTTTCCTGTAGCATCCCACCCTAAATATACAAGGAGTAGTAGGGTCAAATTCCTGTGGATTCATTAGGTAACCTACAACAGACACCCTCACTGTTGTACCCTTGAGTAACTTCCCAGCAGGTCAGTGGAGCAGCTAAGTGACAGCCAGCAAAAACCATCCCTGGATAGATAAAGGTTAAAAACAGTGTCACGCTCCAGCACTTCTATAGGGAAAACAAGCTGAGGGGAGACAGATAGAGATGGACTAAAGGAATGCATTTATAAGGACTGTTGGGGGAAAAGGAGCTGACTGATCCTCCATCCTCCCCGTCTTGTACGAGAGAAAGGCTGTTTATTAAAGGCCTAGAGCTACAGCACCTTTGTTTGGGTTGAAAAAATGGCAGTGGGGAATGGTGAGCAGGTTTCTCTGCATTAGTATACAATAAGAGAAATGAGAGAAATCCTTTGTTGGTAAACTGCCAATGCAGCCTGGTTGATCTGAAATGTGATAGTTGAGTAGGCATGATGTTCCAAATAAGTCCAATCTTGCAAACTAGCCATCCCACATGAGGTTAAAGGGTACTTTGAAAAATTCAGTGCTATTGCCAAGCCAAAAAGAACTGCTTTCAAAACAACTCCAAGCCTTAGAGGACTGCATTTTGAACAGATTGTACATTTTGAATGTACAAATTGCTAAATGAAAGAGACTGTGCACATACGTTTCAGTATTGTCCTGTTGTGGTAACAGATTGTGTCTCCTTCCTAACAGATATGCAGTCGTCAGAGCAGCGCTGACAGGCCTGGCTCTGGATTAACACGACCATGGAGTCCTCCTCAGAGTCCCAGCAGGAGCCTGAGAAAACTTTGGTGAGTCAACACACTTGCATATGTAGCTATTTTACCACGTGGCATGCGGATTCTTTCCAAATCAAGAGTCTCTGACCGACTATTCCAAAATGGAATTGGCAAATAATTAGGAATAAATCAAAAACCATTATGGTACTAAGGATAAAAGTTTACTGAAGTCCTTTTAACTATATCTTTAAAGATTCTGACTGATGAACCCAATGTAACATTTATTATTGAGCATTTTGGAATGAAACTCTTTACACAAAATATACACTGTATTTTATAGGCTCACAGAAGCAAGTGATCTCAAATCCACCCACCCTTCTTCATTGCCTCGTAGACGCTGATAATTGTCCCTAATAATTGGTGGTCTTCACTAAACCTCCATGTATAGTCTTAAGTCGGAAAGGGTTCCTGTTTCCTGCTGGCATCAGTGACGGGATCTCTGCTCCAGGAGTACACTCTCTGAGTCTTAATGATTAGCTTAAGGTGCTAATATTGCTAACCTGCCACAGGCTTGTCAGGCTCACTGTGGCAGACACTGCTCTTTGCTGCCTGTAATTAAACTCTTGTCAGGGCGTGTGCGTGCGTGTGTGCGTGCGCGTGTGTGTGTGTGTCAGTAGATAGACAAGAAAGCTGAAGTCACTTTGGCTGCAGACGATTAAAGGTCACACAGAGTTGTGTTTTTTTCAACGTTCTGAGGAACAGAAATTGTGATGAAACAGGCCAGTCAAACTGAAAAGGACATCCACAGTTCTTGTTCTGTGTTCTGCACTACAATATAAAGTTGTTGCCACTTCCTGTTGGGTGTTGCAGGTTGACTGTGCCCTACTAGAGGCAAACCCAGACCCAAATGAGCTAATTTCATTTAAATTCATGGAATGGGGTGACCGTTTTTATGTCTTATTCTGATACAACCAATTTTTATCTCCAAATTTGCCAGTTGTTCCACATGAGGTTTTAGAGTAAGACTGCTATATAACTCCAAGTTATGAGTTTTAAGCAATAAAGCACATTTTGTCTTATCTGTATTCAGCGCAGCTTTAAAGTTATGCAGAGATGTCTGAAGTCTGTAAAAGTAGACAAATTTAGACACAGCTTAAAATGGAGAAGAGCCATATGCAAAATATAGTTTATGTGGATTGTAAATATTAACGGACCAAGTACAGAAACTTGTGGTACCCCACCTTTGCCTGTGTTCAGTTTGACAAATATGTTTGAAACAAGGTCTGAATAAGAGCGTAGAAACCACATCCTCTCTTATAATCTCACACAAGAACGACTGCATACTCTACTGCGACCAAGCAAAGATGGTTACCAGTGGCACCTTCAGTCAGCACACAAACATTTACACACCCACACATAAAATACCACTTCCCTCCTCTCAGCTCCCAGGATTGTGATTCTGCCCTTTCATTTCACCTTAATCATTATCCTCAGTAGCCATTTTTGCAGTGAACAGGAGGGCAATTATAATTGCAGATAACTGGGGTGATAATGGTGCTGGCCACCTCTCCCACAGGCCTCCACACACAATGACACACAATAGGAGTGTATGGGAGCAGAGCTAACAGCCCTTCCCTACTTCTTTGAATCTTGCTTAGAGCTGGAGTGAGTTTTAATAGCACTTTTATATCTGTTAGTAGTGCAAGCTAATTTCTCACCCCACCTTCTCCGGGGCCTATATTAGTGGCTGCATAATTAAACTGCTGATGCGTAAATTGGTTTGAAAGCCACGTTGGTATATTTAGTGTTGTTTTGAATGCTTTCTTTTGGACTGAATTTGAATTTGATGAATGTGTACCTCTCTGCGATTCAGCAATACACCGTCTTTGTGTAGGCTCCGGGGCAGTGTGCTATCCTTCGATCACACATTATGAGCATTATGGTGTGAGACTTAGACTGTGGGACGTATTGTGTTGCTGGCATATCCTGCTGTTTGCTGAAAGGGCCCGTTGGTAGAGAGTATGGCTCCCAACATGAGATGAAAGGCTCTGGGAAGCACGCCAGGTGTCTGCCGCTTCTCCCCTCGCTCTGACATCCTCACAGTCAGGAGACGCTTCAGGAAGGTTTATGGCAGCCAGCCCCCCCTCCTGTTTCAAACATCCACTGCCATTCAGTCTGCTGTCATTTGCATTGTACATACTGTAATGAAAGAGCTGGTGACCTGCTGTTCAGAATAGGCAGCAGTGAAAAAGCACATAGACAGGCATTATGCTCTTGAACAATGGGTTTGAGGTAGCTTAGGGGTTAGAGAAGAGGATCTGTGCCTAGGAGATCACTGACTGAGGAGATTTGAGCAGCCGAAATGAATGAGAAAGAACTTTTATCCATGGTGGCTGTTGAATTGCCCTTTGGCAAAGCACTTCACCCCCATTTGTTCCCGAGGAGCTTTGCAGTTCCAACTGTAAGATTAGTTGTGCTGGGAAGCTCCCAGTTTGAATGCAAGGCAGGATATTGCTCTTTATAATAAAGGTTTTTATTAATGTAGTCATTGCAGTCTCTCAGGAACAAGATAGTTACTATTACCAGTTCCCATCTGATGCAACTGCAACACCTGCCATCAATCAGTTGGTATTAAACATAATAAGGCCTATAGTACTCACAGAAGGCTCATTATTGAGTCTTACTATATCCCAGAATTTTCTCCTACCCAACTCTTCTTTGAGCACTGATCCAGCCTTTACAATAGTAGAGTACACTCCGTCTAAAATAGGCTGACATTCTTGCTATTGGAAAGAAGTTTGAAAGTCCCTTATTAATGGGAAAGTAGAGGCTTCTTGCCTAAGAGTGCATCTTTTCTTGTTTACTGCCCATAAAGATCTATATTGACAGCCTGGAGGCCGAGATTACTTTCCTAATAAAAATCGACAAATGGTGTAACCCCTTAATGGAGTCTTTTCATGCGTGTCAGGAAGCCTTCTGCAGCTCAGTGAATCATTCAAATGAAAATCTAAACCCAGAAGTTTGCCCAGACTCAGGGTGTCAACTGTATTCATAGAGCACTTTAACTTAAAGGACATTTTTTAGCCACATCAGCGGTGTGGCTCTAGCAATGGCAATGTCTGTCTGACGGCTCACCGCTTTGGTTCAGCCCGAAGTATCTCAGGCTGGACTATTGGATGGATTGCCATTCATCCCTCTTATCGCTAATGTGAGCTCACTACCTGGTAGGAGAGGAGATGCTGGTTTGAGCCGAGTCTGCTCTCTCAGCTAGAAAGTCCACAAGAATTTCAAGATATGTGGCTTAGTTCAAGCTTGTTCAGAACAGTTTGCTATTAGCTTAATGAATGTGCTATGGATAAATCATACCGGTGGTGGATGGGAGACTGCAGACAGAACAGTTGAAAACATCGCTTTCCTGCAAGTGTATGCTTGTTGATAAATTAAGGTTTTATTGCACGTGCAATAATGAGCATAGTTGTTAACTGGAGTACCCTTATATGTTCACTCTGTCTTTGGTGGCCTCTTTGCTTGGCTGTCCACTCTGCCACTCTGTCTGTCTGTCTGTCTGTCTGTCTGTCTGTGTGTTTGTGTGTGTGTGTGTGTGTGTGTGTGTGTGTGTGTGTGTGTGTGTGTGTGTGTGTGTGTGTGTGTGTGTGTGTGTGTGCGTGCGTGCGTGCGTGTGTGTGGTAGCGGAGCTGAGCCCCGCCCAACACAGAGAGAGCAAGAGGAGAGAAAGATGGAGAGGGGGAGGCAGCGCTGTGACCATAAATTAGATCAAAAACATATTTTTTTCTTAATGTACCAATAAAAGTACCAACCTTAAAAATACCCTGTTTTTTTAGCGCTGCTTCCACTTCACAACCAGGTTTCAGGAGGCATCCCTATCCTCAATGTAATTTATGAGACGAAGCCTTGCGTTAGTGTACATGGGAACAAAGACAAAGGCAGCTTGGAGGACATGTATAACTTCAGTTTAGTTATAGTTTAGTTTAGTTTTTTCTGTCCATTTATAGAAAAAGACAGTTTTATGTCAACATAAAAATAGATCTCTACAAAGTGATACCTCCGCTTCCTGCACTTCCTACAAATCCTTTTGACAACATCAAGAGAATGGGCATGAACTGAATGCTCACATAATTATATTGAAACTGATCATTTAGCTGTGCCTAGCTTTGATGTGGTGCTGACCACACCCCTTAGCTTAAATGTAACATGTCTTGCAGCTGCATTGCTTTATGGTCAATTGAGACTTCTGTTGCGGAGAAGCTGATGTCTGTTCCTCTACTGTGATTAATCGTCCTACTGGTACGGACTATGACAAAGCATTATCTTTTTGATTGTGACAACAAAAGTTGTTGTTTACCATTGATGTCAAAGACTAATGATCAGACATAATGAAAGCTATGCAGGGAAACTATATTTGCCTTTCCCCAGGTATCAGCAAAATGAAAAAAGGCATCCCAAAAATGCAAGACTGCTGTCAAAAGAATAATTTCTAACTGACAGTGCCAGGTACAGGGCCTTGTTTCTTAGAGCTACAATGCCACATAATGTGATAGTAATAAGCTGCATGAGGCTGCAGGAAGCCAGAGGTGAAAATTGGCTTTAGGCTGCTCTTAGGGAGTGAGAAACTGAGGCTGCATCAGCTTTCTGTACGTCAGTGGTCGGACTCAGGGTGCTGTTGACAGAAGCGAGCTGACAGCCGTGGGCTGATGAGACACATTCTCACCACTAAAGCTAATGGGTTAACGTAAACAGGAAAGGCAAGCTTATCCTCCACGGCTTTACTTTGGCCTTCCGAAAAACTGCAAATTAAAGTCTGAAAATATACAGCAACTTTCAAAAGGCTTGACCAAGTGAAGTTCAGATGATGTCGAGGAGAAGTTTTAACATTCAGGATTTAACTGCAGTGGAGAAACTGAATGTCTGCTGCCAAGATTTGTTCAGTCCGTCCCTGACAGAAAAATCTGTCCTTTGGGTGGGCTGCTGGTCTGAGGGCGGTAATCAAGACAGTATAGATTTATTAACTCTGTGAATGAAAAGCAGGGGCATGTAGAATCACATAGATAATT